CCTCCTTGGACAGATCGATCTCGATGATGGTTTCACCCGAAGAGGTCTCCTTGCCAAACTTGGCCACCAGCCACTTCTGCGTATGGTCCCAGCCGACCATGGAGTTCAGCATTGGAGTGCCGCGACCCACAGGATAGCTGATGGGACGTACCAGGTTTAACACCTGTGGCTGAGCTCCAGCAGCGAACAGCTTGCCCACGTTGCTGAGGAAGAATTCCACATTGTTCTCGTGTCCGCGTTTTACCAGGCTCAAATTGGTGGCATCCGGGCCAAGGGCGCGCTTCAGAATGGCCTGCAGCAGGCCGTGCGGTGCGATTTCAATGGAAATGGCATTCTTTGGAACGTGTTGCAGCGCCTCGTGAAAGAGTACAGGGGAGAGCAGGTTGTTCACGTGGTAGGCTGCTGATGACTGCTTGGCAATGGGCGTGGTCCAGGCCGACTCGGGAATGCTTGTGCTCACCCAACGCTCGGTGCGGTTCTTGGCGTTGGGAATAATCTTCTCCAGGCTCTTGCGCAACTTGGGACCTGCATCGGCGATGTACTTGCTGTGGAATGCGTAGCCGCTGCTGTTGACAGCCTTGGCGAAAATTTGCTGAGCATTCAGTTTGGCTACCAGCGCTTCGATGGAAGCCTCGGGTCCTGAAATTGTGCAGTTGTCCTCGCTGTTGTGGCAGACAGGGAAGCAATCATTGGGCACGAGCTTGTGCGCGTCATCCCAGCTCAGACCCACTGCAGCCATCTTGCCCTTTGGCAACTGCGTATCTAGGATGCTCTTGCCACGCCAGTAAGCAGCCAACACAGTCTGTTCGGGCGTAAAGCAGCCATCCGCATAGGCACAGCCTAGTTCGCCCACTGAATGTCCCACAATGCCAGCCGGATGGATATTTAGTGAGGAAAGCAGATCCGTCAAGGCCACCTGCATGGCGGCAATCGAGATGAACGAATTGAGAATGTTTTCAAAGCTCTTATCCGTCGACCGAGTGAGCACTTCAATTAAATCCACACCCAAGGGTTTTAGAACATCGGCGCAGCGTTGAATGCTCTTGGCAAACACATCAATCTCCATCAAATCTTTCGCCATGCTGGCCCATTGGCTGCCCATGCCGGAATAGATGTACCAAATGGGGCGTTTGTCGTCGCTGAACTCCACCACTTCGCGCTGCAACGATCCTTTGTTGCTCACCACACTGTATCCACGGAAATAGTGCAGGGGAATGGGCTTTGAGTGAATATCGTTAATCAATTGCAGGTATTCATCGTCGTCAGTGTGGGCGGCGGCGGACTCCAGCATCTGTTGTACGGCCTCGAAGGTGCGGCCGGAAGCAATCACAACCTTAGGTCCTCCATTGCGTGGTGTTATGGTCTTGGGCTTGGGATTCGATTTCAGAATTACGTGAGCGTTAGCGCCACCAAAACCAAAGGAGTTTAGGCCAATGATGCCCCCGTTCCATGGCAAGTTTTTATCGACCACCTTAAGACGACCATCAAGCAGACCGTACAGATCAGGATTGGGCTTGTTGTAGTGTAGGTTACCGGGGATCACACCAGACTCCATCGCGATCAGTATCTTGGCTACCGAGCAAACGCCTGAGGCCGGCTCGGAGTGACCCATGTTGGACTTAACCGACCCAATCAATAGGGGCGTGGTACGGTTCTTGCAGAAGAAGTCAGTGATGGAATTAACCTCCTGTGGATCACCAACTTTGGTGCCGGTGCCGTGAGCTTCCACATAGACCACATCGTTGGGATTAAGGCCAATTTCCTCGTATGTCTCGCGTATAAGACGGTTCTGCATACTGCCAATGGGATAGGTGATACCCTGTTCCTTGTAGCCGTCCGTGTTCGTGCGCACGTTCAAAATGGATGCATACACACGTTTGGCAACCGATGTACGTTGCAGAAGCAACACCACACAGCCGTCGGAGCGTACATAGCCGTTGCCGGACTCGTCGAAGGCCTTGCAGCTACCATCTGGACTCAACATGTTGAGCCTCTTGAACTGCAGCGACATCGTGGGTTTGAGAATAAGGCCAGCGCCAGCGACCAATGCATTGTCGATCTTGCCCTCACGCATATCGGAGAAAGCCTGTTCCAATGCGTACAACGAGCTGGAGCAGGCCGTGTCAATGCTGTAGCTTGGTCCCTTGAAGTCGAAGGTAAACGAAATTCGATTGGCGAACATGGCACGAGCGCAGCCCGTCAATCCATAGCCATTTACACGGTCCGGATCACAGCACCAATGCTGCTCTGTTTCTGATGTCGATACTCCGATGTATACACCAGTGCGAGATCCGCGTAAATCTGTAGGATTTAAGCCGGCGTCAATGATTGCCTCGTGCGTCAGCTCGAGCAACATGCGCAGCAAGGGGTCCATGCACTCGGCTTGCTTCTGGTGCACGCCAAAGAACTGCTGATCGAAATTCTCCAGATCGACCTGCTTGATTTTGCCCATCCTGTCGGGTAGTCCATATAGTCCTGTGGCGAAAAGAGATGCTTGTAAACGTTCTTAAATGGACAATATAAGATGGACACCTACCGCGCTCCCAGCGTCTGGGATCATCATTAACCAAATCGACGCCATCGAACAGATTCTGCTTGAATTCCTCGATATTTGAACTCTCAGGCAGACGGCCAGAGAATCCAGTAATCGCAACCTCTTCATTCAGCACCTGCTGGCGCGGCGCATAGTGTCCACCCAGGTCCAATTGGGGGGCATTATGCGTCGCGGGCTCGGCTGTGATCACTTCTTCGGCAAAACGGGCTGGCATTTTGTTGGCTGTTAAGGGTCTATTATTCGTGGCACGGTTCCAATCGGAGGTGCTCGGTGTTATCTGCGCGCTTGGCTCCTCAAGGGCGTCAGGTTGGCCTGAATTTTGTTGCTTTTTATTGCGACGGCGTCGCCGACGGAGGGCGCGTGCACTTTTCCCGCTATTTTGTACAGGGGGGGTGCAATTGTTACTATCCTTGACTGCAACAGTTTGCTGATCCACGGCTCTTAACAGCTTCTAGCGACTGCAAAATTACACAAATTATAGCCAGACATTAGTTACATGTACTTAAGATCACAGTTGACATCGGCCAACGACATATATATGTACATATGTATATTAGCCCATGGCAGGTTTTGTGCTTCAAAGTTTAGATACAACTATATAGCGGTAGATTTGCCGAAAGAAGTGTCAAACAAATTTTTACAAAGAACTTTAAATTCGAGTTTGAAACTGATTCGATGGTGAACATAAAAGATGCAAGTTTGCACATGTGGAATTTTCTTAAATATCTTCTCGAATATGATTAAACCCGAAACTTCGCTTAATCAACCTTTGACCCGCATTGCCAATTCAAAAAGGATGAATTTTTCGAAGAATGTAAATCACGTATCAGATGAATTTTCACGGATGGTAAACAATTAACTTTCATTCAACCGTTGTCCTCCAATTTATCAAAGCTAGGATAAATTCTGTTCGTACAAATATATTTAACAGTCTATATACTCGAATCGTACACAAAAATAATTCAAATTCTCTAAAATATTTAGTTTAAGTGTCACAGTAGAATAAAATTGGGCCCTGATTTAGCCAGTTTTTGGCTAAAAATGTTTATGCTCTTGCCATTAAATTAACTTTCTGGTCGAAATACAATTGTAACATTAACTTTCAATCAGACCAATAATTAAATAGAAAACAGATTGAAGGGTGTCTAATTTAAGGGGAGCGGACTGTATCCACAAGACGCACATATGTACATATAATAATTACATATGTATATGCTTAAATATTTGTGTAAGCAAGGCAAATGTATATTATTAACCTTTCTGTTTTATATGGTTTAAATATATTTAAGCACCGTATATTTTGTACACTGGTGGCTAAATACACAGGTATGGCGAGCTACGTTAACATTTATGTTAAAATACTGTTAATTTTCTGTTGCTCACGAAAAGCTTTAAATGTTTTCCCTCGAAAGCTAAGTACCCGCCTAGTCATACGAATTTGTAGCGAGTAATTGAAAATCAGGTGATTTCTGGAGAAGATGCGCGTGCAACGGTTTTCGCTATCTGCGGTAGCTTGCTTGTGGCGTGATTATTAAATGCCTAATAATGTGCGGCAACATTATTTCTTTATGTATACAAGTATATATATGTATGTGTGTATGAATGAATACACATACACATACATACATGGAGATATGCTTTTCTTAGTGTTTTGTGTGCAACCAGTCTAACAGTGCAACAAAAAATATGTTAGCCTAGAAGTTCCAAGAGTAGGGTCGCAGCTGACGCTCACCCATACCAAAACGTTTGGCACGTTTTACCGATAAAACTCGTACGATGTGCAGAATGAGAGCGGCACAATGAAATAAGTCAGTGTAGCTAAACCTAATAGTTCGGCTTATTTGCGAGAAAGTCCGCAAGAGCACTTTCAGCAAGCATACATACATAAGAATAAGAATACATATGTATGTATGAACATAAATACAAATAGAGAGGGAGAGACAGAGAGAGAGAGAGCATGCTAGAGTCAAATAAGAGACGCGCCGGTTTTCGTCGTAATATTGTCCGCCAGCCGGCAACAAACACACACATACACACACGTATTCACATCAGCATGACGCGTGTTCAAAAGCAATTTGTAGAGAGCGAGATTGGTGGCGTGATTTCCATGTTTGTTTAAGTATTATTTGGAATTTTTTTTAGTTTTGGAGACGTCTGATGTTCTGCTATCGTTTTGTTTGCTTATAATGTTTTCCCTTGCTTATTGCGACAATAACATATCCTTTTACATTAATTACAGCGAGTTTATTGATTTCCAGCGTTTCCATCTGACAAAAATTGCGTCATTGGATATGTAAACAAAAAATTTCTGTTAGCAATAATAGCTAGCCACTGTAGAAATTGGCACTGTTGCCGCTACTTTACGGTAAATTTGCTTTCAAGCTCTGCCACCATGCACTTAATATTGTTTATTTATACACTTAGGCTATTTTTGCACTTATCGATTATTGGGAAACTGCAACTTATTTTAGTTGTGAATTTGCAGCTATTGATCACCTCACTAAAGCCTCTCCTCAGAGTCGTCCGACGCGCGCGCTTCAAGTTCATTGCCAAGTGATAAGCGCGAATGGGGTGATTAACTCGAATTCGTTTTGTATACTGATAGCACATCTCCAGACAAATTTTGTATATACACATACATACATTTATTTATTTACATACATACCTATGCATGTATGTATGTAAGCGTACTTGTGTCCGGACATTTTCTGGTCGCGTGCATAAACGTTCCGTTAGCTGAATCAGTATGTATGTACATACATACATACATACATTTTAATGTTTGTGCGAGCGTAGATTGGAAATTTTCCAATCAATTTTGCTTTTGTTTTGTTAATGCAGAAATCATAGAAATCAACCATCTAATTAATTAGCATGCGAAACCCTACCAAGTACATTTGCACATGAAACATTAAGAATGAAGTCTAATGAAGGCGCAATAACTAGTCTGGGCCTGGAGACTGCAGGCTTTAGTGAATATTTTGGGTACTTGTATTTTATTATTAAAAATGATTGTTATTATAATTAAATGATTGTCTTTTGGCAGTCCTTAAATTAGACTGGCCATTTAAAAAAGTGAAGTCATAAAAAACTCAAATCATCTGAAAGCACAAAGTAAAGTTTAATGCCGACTGATTTAATAATAATAATTAATAAAATAAAACATTCAAAACTTTCAAATGTTAATTTTCAAGTTATACATTTTGTCGACTTTTAATTATTATTTGCAGCTGTGCTATCGTCAATGTCTAAACTAGTTAAAAAAATGGTCAGTTATTCTCTCTCCTTTCTTGCAGAACTCATTTTCCCCACACATGTATGTACGTAAATATCTGTGTGAGTGTATGTGTGTATGCATGGACACATCCATATGCTTGTTGTATGGATGTATGCACGCGGAATACATACCTAAAAATCAGGCGATTCCTCGACAGCTGTTTTCTGAGGCTATAGCAACAGCTTTCCCGGGCTATGCGAATGACAAGAGTAAGCGGTTTTGTGTTGGATATTTTTGTTATAAATCAGCCGTTGAGATCAAAGCCAGGAGAGTAATTGTTTTGATTAAATTTGTTCACTTCAAGCACATTTCTTAACAACAGCGTATTTTGTTTTTTATTTATTCTTCAAGCTTAATATTTTATACACTTTGATTGATGCAATTGATGCAAAACACTTGTAACGGCGAAATCGGCTTATGGTTAAAACCTCCGTAAACTCTTGCGCGACCTAACGACGAAATGTGAATTACAAATAGTCGCGGCATCAGGTGAGCAGTGGCTTTTATACGACGGCAGGGCTTGTGTTGGTGCCGAAAAAGCTTGTCTTTTGTGCGCAGTGAGAGCAAGAGAGTAAGTAGCAGAAATAAGCGAGATAAGCACAAAAAGCTCTTTGCTCCCTGTTAACCTTTCATTGCAGGGCGGCTGCGTCTGTCTGTTATGCTATTGGACTGTTGTTGATGCGGGCTCTGCAAAAACGATGCCCTTCATACAATTTTATACAGCGTAATTTAACTTTTTTTTTAATTATTGCGAGCTTTGGATGTGTTATACTTGAAATTGGGCAGACATCAGAATCGCACCACTTTTTTTTTGGTTTTAATTCAAATTCATGCGTACATACATGTACATATATACAAATATAAGTACATATAAATTTATGCATGTTTTCTTGAGCGCTTTCTATTGAGCTAAACTCACTCATAGACTGATTTTTATGAATTATTGCTTATGTGTTGGTATATATGTATGCATATATACTCGTATGTAAAAAGGTGCACTGTTAAAAGGGCTTTTATTAGTAATGTTATTAAAATGCGCGCAGTTATGTAAGTATGTATCATAATATTAACTTATTTCTTATCAGAACAATGTTAACATTTATGCATGTACATATGTAGGTCATCGAAGAAATAAAGAAAAGCTAATACAAAATTGAATTGTTAAACACGCCTATACAAAATTAAATAAAAATAATATATTTTCTTTGCATTAAACAGTAAAATTATTATTAAAAAATAAATGACGCAACTAACATGTGTGTTTATGTAAAACACGTTCCATGATTTTTAACGTTTGGGCCTCCTTGAGAAATGTCCTATGCGTGCCTGCTACTACATGCATATCGATCTGAGCGCTGCAAATCTACAGAGTTGGTTAAGTAACATATTTTTGCTTGTATTAAATTATCTTATTATCTCATTACCTCTCTGAGACCGTAGTCATCCTGAGTCATAATCGCATTGTGCTCGGCTGACTTTATGAGGACCACATCGCTGTTGAGCTGCTTTGCTCCCTTGTAGCTCTCTGATAGAAGAAGCTTTTGCTGAAACATGCAGGCAGCTTTCTTGATCTGTGAATATATTTGACAACAAAGAACATTAAAGTTTTTACCCATCAATCGAAAATATGTGTAAAAAGAAAGGGACTGAGAGAGAGAGAGAGAGAGAGAGAGAGAGAGGCATATCCAAGCAAACCAAACTGGAACAAAAAGCCAAACCTTATAGTGTGGAAAATTTCGACTTATGTCCGTATAGGATATTTGAGGGTACCGTTTTTGCATAAATTTCGACCAAGAATAATGTTGCCAGATTTATATGTAAAATTGACCAGAGGCCAAACCATGAAGAAAGACCCAAACGTCGTGAAAATTGGTTGAGTTTTGACAAAGTTACGGGGGGCGAGACATTTTTACCTATGTCTATAAGGGATAATAGCGGGTATACCACGGATTTGCCCGTCAATTTTCGTTATTTTTTGCATAAACAAATTACCAGCAATATTTTAAATATTTTGTGTGTAGGTGACTTACCACATCCTTGGTTTGTTGAGTGTGCGAAGCTAAGGTATCCGCGAGTTTGTTTAACTTCAGATTCCACGTCTTTACACCTTCGAGAATTCGTAGCAGCTGCAAAAGTCAGGTATTAGACGGATATTTGCAATGGAGGGAGCATGACAATGTGTCACCCACCTGGTTGTAGTCCACGTCTGCCAGCAAGGCACCAAAGTAGGCCAGCGTCATGGATTGCTGGCGGTTTAGATCATCTGTCTGCTTTTTGGCCTCCTGCACATAGCCGCTGGCCATGGTGGGAGCTCCGTCGAGCATAATGACTTTAACGCTAAATCGACGCTGTTCCAGCGCCACGCCGATCGCATGTGCCAGAAGGCAACCGTATGAGTATCCGACAATGTTGTAGGGGCCGCGCGGCTGAAGCTTTTGGATTTGGTGCAAATAGTAGGCGGCGCAAGCTTCAATTGAGTCCAGAGGCACTTGCTCGGTGCACTGCAGACCGTAGGCTGGGCAGGTGAGTGAGGCGGCAAGTGCTTCCACGGCTATGGTGAATCCTTCGATGGGCGCTAGGAAAAACGCGGCAGGCTCTTTGCAGGTGATTGTCGCTTTGGAATGCAGGCGCACGAGTACGTCCTGAGGTAATACTTCCTTGGCGAATACCTTGCGAGTTTCATCGGTTTGAGCAATTGCCGTCCGGCCCATATTATTGGCACCGTTCACCGACATCGGTTCTATAACTGAATCGGCACTCGAGGCAGTCACCTGTGGTTCTCGGGTATCGATGTTCTTAAGTGCACTAAAGGTTAGCTGGCGAATTTCCTGAGCCGACAGGACTAGATCGAAATTCCTCTCCAGTGTCTGCTTGATCTCCGTGCTCATCAGCGAGTCCATGCCCAGGTCGAAAAGTGTTGTCTTATCCTGAATCGAGTTAACATCGCGCAGGCCCATTATATTGGCTATGGTGGAGATAAGGCTCTGGCGACTCGACTGCTCCGGCTTGCGTTTCTCGGCCAGCACCATGGACGCCAGCACGGGGTGGGGCTGCTGCATGAAGATATCCAAGGTCTGCAGGCAGCTGCTCATGCGCTGGGGCAGAGTTCCTCCAATGACAGTGTCATTGTTGCCCATGTGCTCGATGATGAGGCCCGTGTCACCGATGGCACCCCACTGTATTGCGATGCCGGGATAGCCCTCGGCCTGGCGTAGTTCGCAGATCCGTTCCATGGCAGAGTTTGCCAGACCGTAGTTGGTCTGACCTGGGTTCCCACGTCCGGAAGCCAAACTTGAAAAGCAAATAAAGTGTTCCAGAGCTGGGCACATTCGGCGCGAGCATTGGTCCAGATGCATTGTGGTTAGGATTTTGGGCGCTGTGACCAGCTCGAAGTTTTTGACAGTTTGTTCTTCGAAAATCGCGTCCTTTAGTATTGCAGCCAGGTTAAATATGCCGCCGACCAATGCCAAATTGTTGCTACTCTCCAGCATCTTTATGCAGCCTATGGCAGACGTGACGTCATTTATATCGACGATTACCTGGACTCCACGCTCGTGCAATCGACGGATCATCAGGCTTTGGTATCCAGTTTTTAGGCCTGAATGTGAATTCAAGACAATGTATCGTGCCCCACGCGTCGCCAGCCAGTTGGCCAGCTCCAGACCGAAGCCGCCCAAGCCGCCGACGATGATATAGCTTTTCTCCGGGTGCATGTATGTACGGGGAATGGCATTGGTTAGACGCGGCTTGGGCAGCGCCGATTGTTGCTCTTCGTTGCGCACCTTAATGACCACCTTGCCAATGTGTTTGCCCGAGGCCATGAACCGAAAGGCCTTCTCGATCTCCTGGTCGGTGTAGACAGTGGTGGGCAGTGGCAATACGGCACCGTTGCTAATGCCCTCCGAGACGAGCGACACCACATGCTTCTGCATTTCCTCCTCACCTTCCATGACACTGTCCAGCAGAATCCCGTGGAAGGATGTATTTTTTAAAAATACCGACATGCCTAGAGGATTGTTATTGCTTAAATCGAATTTGCCAATTTCCAGAAAGCGTCCGTTGAGACCGAGGCATCGGATGGATGCCTGTAGCTTCTCCTCAGACAGTGAGTTAAGGACTAGTTCGACGCCCTCTCCATTGGTTTCACTTAAAATCATTTGCTCAAACGATGTGTCACGTGAATTGCCAATGTTACGTGACTGCAGCTTGGGGAAACGCTTCAGTAAAAATTCACGTTTCTCTTTGCTGCCCACCGTAGTGAAGACCGTCAGTCCATGGTGTAGGGCCACAGAAATGGCAGCTTGACCCACGCCGCCGGAGCCGGCATGGATAAGGATCCGCTCACCCTTTCGCATTTGTCCACGCACAACCAAGGCGTAGTAGACGGTGGCATAAACACAGGGCACCGTAGAGGCTTCTTCCATAGTCCAATTGTCGGGTATATCCCAGAGAAGATTTTTGTTGGCCAAACAGTTGGTGGCCAATGACTTGGCTGGCACCATGGCCATGATACGGCGACCATTCGAGTCACGTCCGGCAAACTCTAGGCCCAAAACGCAATCCTGGTGAGCCAAATCAGCTGGCAACGCATCTTGACCAAGTTTTCCCGATGCCAACATCACGTCACGAAAGTTTAGAGGAGCAAAGTAGACTGTGCAGGGTTCCCATTTGTTGAGGTCTACATTTGTGTTCCGGGGGCTCTCGATCCATTTTAGCGAGGAAAGATCTCCCTTGATCAGTGTATTGACATAGGCTTGCTCCACAGTTAGCAGCGGTTGATGTGTGTTTAAGGGTAAATGTCGAAAGCTGCCCCAATTTCCATTCCGGTAGACATTAACGGACAAGTCTTTGGCAATTTGGTCGGCAAAGGACGTGCCCGTTAGGGAGAATACGGGCAGTTCAGGGTCTTGCAGCAAATAGAGTCGAATTCTGTAGGCGATCTGCTCACGTTTCAGGCAGTTTATAAAACCTAAAGCACCGGTACGTGGCTCTCCTTGTGCAACCAAGTAAACGTTACTACCGTCCGATTGCGACTTCAACAGCGCGGTTTTAAGATCCGTGACCCACTTAAAGTGATTATTGGATATGCGGACAACCGGCGACGAAGAGAAGTCCTTATCGGTTGACTTTCTAGCTAGGATCAACGTGCGATCACTGTCGTAGACCTGCTCCATAACCGGCAACAGATTTAGGCGCTGCAACAGAGCCTGTCCCGTGGCTCTGTAAGCACTTAGACTTTCTTCCAGTAGTAGAAAGCCACTCTCCGGCTTAAGGGTATCGATGCAGTGTTGGACTTGCAGATCTCTTAGTGTGCAGTCGGTCGAGAGTAAATCAACGGCATGTAAAAAGTCACACTGGCATTCCACAGCCGCTTTCGCAGGATCCGCAACAATTACCCGAACTCCCGAGTCGTGCAACAATGCGTTAAGAGCTGACTCGTTATTGCTGCTGTTTGTGGCTACTGCCACATCGCCCACTAAAATGGGCTCGCGCTCAATTAGCTCCAGAAGTTTGACGGCGTTAAGACCTTCCGTGCGTGTGCCAGCCAGCTCGACTCCCTTGATTTTGACTGCTCCTCCACTGTTTTCGATGATTAGCTGCATGGCCACGGTGAAGGCAATGTGCTTGGCACGCAGCTGATCCCCACGTGGATCCAAGTGCTGCACGTGAGGCGTGAAGCTATAGCGCTCCAGAATGGGCGGACTCTGGCCGCCGGAGCGACGCTGCGTCTGTGCGGTCTTTATCTTGTGGACCTCGACACCGCCGCACTTGACAACCGAAATGTTGCGATGGAAATACACGGGCAGCTTTTGCTGTTGCTGTTTGGCCAGCTCCAAGTGCCTAACCGGATCGATTACGACGCGCTCAATTCCGGTTGGCACGTAAAGCTCGCGCAGGTTGTTGCTGAGTATGCGGAACTGCAGCATGGTGTCCATGAAGCTGATCCAATTGTCGGCCCACAGAAGGCGGCCCATAACTCCCGAATTGTCAACGTCGACAATACCCTGAAAGATGCCGCCATAGTCATAGCCCCGCAAGCGCATCTCCTTGTAGACATCCTTGGTGCAAAGCT